AGGCTCAATGGGATTTACCTGTCTAAATAAAGGTTGAATTAATTTATTGGTGACTGCCTAGTAAGGCAGCCACCTGTTATTATCCACCTGACAAAGGTTTCTTAACTTTATTAATTTATTTATTGGGGACTGCCTAGTAAGGCAGCCACCTGTTATTATCCACCTGACAAAGGTTTCTTAACTAGTAGAGCTGCTGCCTCTCAGCGAGCAGGTCTCTGGTTCAAACCCCGGTCCAGGGGCCTTTCTGGGTGGAGTTTGCATGTTCTCTCCGTGCATGCGTGGGTTTTCTCCGGGTGCTCCGGTTTCCTCCCACAGACCAAAAACATGCATGTTAGGCTGATTGGTAACTCTAAATTGTCCCTAGGTGTGAGTGAGAGAGTGAATTGTTGTTTGTCTCGTTTGTCTCTATGTGGCCCTTTGATGGACTTGCGACCCGTCCAGGGTGTACCCCGCCCCTCACACAGTGATTGCTGGACATGGGCACCAGCGACCCCCATGACCCAAAATGGAATTAGCGGGTAAAGATAATGGATGGATGGAGAACGATCCCTAATAGACTCTGACTGCAAATCAAAAATCCAAGATGGCCACCTTAGCTAAAACAAACCAAAAAATCCCCACTATAAATCAGCCATTTTTAGAGATATTAAGCTGAAATTTGGTGGATTGGTAGCTGAGAGCAATGCCCATCCATCCATCCATCCATCCATCCATTTTCTTCCGCTTATCCGGGGTCGGGTCGCGGGGGTAGCAGCCTAAGTAGGGAGGCCCAGACTTCCCTCTCCCCAGCCACTTGGGCCAGCTCTTCCGGGGGAATCCCGAGGCGTTCCCAGGCCAGCCGAGAAACATAGTCCCTCGAGCGTGTCCTGGGTCTTCCTCTGGGCCTCCTTCCGGTGGGACGTGTCCGGAACACTTCACCAGGGAGGCGTCCAGGAGGCATCCTAACCAGATGCCCAAGCCCCCTCAACTGGCTCCTCTCGACGTGGAGAAGCAGCGGCTCTACTCTGAGTCCCTCCCAGATGATCGAGCTTCTCACCCTGTCTCTAAGGGAGAGCCCAGACACCCTGCGGAGAAAACTCATTTCGGCCGCTTGTATCCGAGATCTCATTCTTTCGGTCACAACCCAAAGCTCGTGACCATAGCTTGGGCAATGCCCATTAAATACTGAATTCAAATAAAAAATTCAAGATGGCCACCAAAGCTACATTTAAATGGCTTTAAATCAGCTATTTTTACACGTACCGAACTGAAATTTGGTGTGGTTATAGCTGAGAACATTTCCCATCACGTACTACAGTAAATTAAAAAAAAAAAATCTAACATGGTCGCCTTAGCTAAAAGGGAAAATATACAATAACTCAGCCATTTTTAGAGCTATTCATCTGAAATTCAGTATAGTAGTAGCTAAGAGCGAACCCTAAGTACTGTCAAATCAACATTTTAAATTGGCAGCAACGTGGCAGTCCCCATCAAGATTCTCCAGGATCTTTCTAGTATAGAAACTTCTAATCAGACTCTGTAAGAAACTGTTTTGGGTGTAAAGCCAAACCGCTGTCTCTGTCTCGTGGTGCCACTGCAGAGATAGTTTGAAATATCTCAGAGCAAACCTTTTGAGAGCAGATCTCAAAACAATATTTTCACAAAGACTTTCAGTTGCAGAAGGAAGAGTTTGCTCTGTGCTGTGTAAACACATGGGATATTTTGCCTAACTTTGAAATTGGTACTTTGTCTTGTTGTAGGTGTGCAGTGTTTACTGAACACAAATACAGAAGAATAAGGAGACAAATATCATTTTGCAGCATCTTTACTGAATGTACAGTTTTAGGCACGTGAGATGATGTATTCTGCGACCTCAACATTTAGAAGAGCATTTTTTTTAATTCAGCATCAATGCTGTAGTTAGCAGCTATAGAGTATGTTGATTCTTCTGATGTCCCAGTAAGACA